CGCGGTACTTAGAGGCCCTGGACCCTTGCCGAGCGCGCGCTCGGGGCGCGCGAAACGCTGGCAGGCGCGACACGCGCGTCGTTTGTGCTGGCAGGCGCGGCACTTAGAGGCCCTGGACCCTTGCCGAGCGCGCGCTCGGGGCGCGCGAAACGCTGGCAGGCGCGACACAGGCGTCGTTTCTGCTGGCAGGCGCGGTACTCAGGGGCCCTGGACCGTTGCCGCGCGCGCGCTCGGGGCGCGGGAAACGCTGGCAGGCGCGACACAGGCGTCGTTTCGGCTGGCAGGCGCGGCACTTAGAGGCCCTGGGCCCTTGCCCCGCGCGCGCTCGGGGCGCGCGAAACGTTGGCAGGCGCGACGCAGGTGTCGTTTGTGCTGGCAGGCGCGGTACTTAGAGGCCCTGGACCCTTGCCGAGCGCGCGCTCGGGGCGCGCGAAACGCTGGCAGGCGCGACACACGCGTCGTTTGTGCTGGCAGGTGCGGCACTTAGAGGCCCTGGACCCTTGCCGAGCGCGCGCTCGGGGCGCGCGAAACGCTGGCAGGCGCGACACAGGCGTCGTTTCTGCTGGCAGGCGCGGTGCTCAGGGGCCCTGGACCGTTGCCGCGCGCGCGCTCGGGGCGCGGGAAACGCTGGCAGGCGCGACACAGGTGTCGTTTGTGCTGGCAGGCGCGGTACTCAGGGGCCCTGGACCCTTGCCGCGCGCGCGCTCTGCACCGACCCTCCAAGTAGTACGCCGGGGACATCCGGAGCTTCCGTGGCTGGAAAGTCGACTTTTCTAGTACAAACGTAGTACGCCGCGGACACGCGGAGCTTCCGTGGCTGGAAAGTCGACTTTTTGTAGTACAGACGTAGTACGCCGCGGACGCCCTGGGCGTCTGAAGACACCGCACATAGCATGGTAACGGACATCTGGGCACCTGAAAAACACCGCAAATAGCATGGTAGCGGACATCTGGGCGCATGAAAACACCGCAAATAGCATGGTAACAGACATCTGGGCGCATGAAAACACCGCAAACAAATATCATGGTAACGGACATCTGGGCGCTTGAAAACACCGCAAATATCATGGTAACGGACATCTGGGCGCTTGAAAACACCGCAAATAGCATGGTAACGGACATCTGGGCGCTTGAAAACACCGCAAATAGCATGGTAACGGACATCTGGGCGCTTGAAAACACCGCAAATAGCATGGTAACGGACATCTGGGCGCTTGAAAAACACCGCAAATAGCATGGTAACGGACATCTGGGCGCTTGAAAAACACCGCAAATAGCATGGTAGCGGACATCTGGGCGCATGAAAACACCGCAAATAGCATGGTAACGGACATCTGGGCGCATGAAAACACCACAAACAAATATCATGGTAACGGACATCTGGGCGCTTGAAAATACCGCAAATAGCACGGTAACGGACATCTGGGCGCTTGAAAACACCGCAAATAGCATATTAACAGACATCTGGGCGCTTGAAAACACCGCAAATAGCACGGTGACGGACGTCTGGGCGCTCGAAAACACCGCAAGTAGCATGGTAACGGACATCTGGGCGCTTGAAAACACCGCAAATAGCATGGTAACGGACATCTGGGCGCTTGAAAAACACCGCAAATAGCATGGTAACGGACATCTGGGCGCTTGAAAACACCGCAAATAGCATGGTAACGGAGTTCCGCGCGCGTGAAGACACGGAGATGTTTTTGTCTTTTCTCGTCGACAACCTCGCAAATATCGTGGGACAGGCGCGGTGCTTCGGGGCCTTGGACCCTTGCCGCGCACACACACACACACAGACAGACACACACACACGCACACACCCACACACACACACACACACACAAACAAACACACACACACACACACACACACACACACACACACACACACACACACACACACACACACACACACACACACACACACACACACACACACAAAGACACGGACACACACAGAGACACGACACGGACACACACAGAGACACACACACACACACACACACGGAGAGATACAGATACAGACACAGCCACAGACACAGACGCAGACGCAGACAGAGACACAGACACAGACACAGACACAGACACAGACACAGACACACACACACACACACACACACAGACACAGACACAGACACAGACACAGACACAGACACAGACACAGACACAGACACAGACACACACACACACACACACACACGGACACACGGACACACACACACACACACACACACACACACGAGCAGAGACACACGGACACACGGACACACGGACACACGGACACACGGACACACGGACACACGGACACACGGACACACACACGGAGACACACACACACACACACACACACACACACACAGAGACACACACACACATTCACACTCACACTCACCCACGCACTCACTCGCGCACCTCTCTACTCTTTCTCAATAGATAAATTTGCATGTGGGGTGATCCGGTCCTTTAATGTTTTTGGGTGTGGGTTGTGAAGGGATGTAGGCTTGAGGCTTGAGGGTTGCTGGGACTTGGGGTTGGTGGTGGCAGGGCTTTTTTTTGGTCGGGTTGCAGATGGAAAGGCTACACCCAAGCCTGCAAAGTTGCTGAAAAGCTCTGCTAAAGAGCAGGCACCAAGCGGCCGTGGAACGCCCTTTTTTGAACACTCACTCGGCAAGCCCTAGAGGAAGGGCTTTCTTCAAATGAGCAGTAGAGCCTACACAAGTTCCTGACTCCGATACCTTTAGCCCGAGGGTTTGGAGAAACTACTATAGGAGCCTTACAACTTGGAATAGGGTTTTGAGGAGGTGATTATAGTACACTTTTCTAGGGACCCTAAGGGAATACTACTAGTAAATGTTCCGACAGCTTTATGAGCCCGCAAGGTATGGGTAAAGGCAAGGATGACGCCTGCCACACAGCACCCTCGAAGTAGCCACTGAAGGCATTGTTGGAGGGCGCCTCATGATGCGAACAGGAATGGCCAATAAGGGCTTTTTCTGGCGCATTACCCTACCCCCCAGTTTTCCCTTGCTTAGTGAGCCAGGAATCTACAATGAGTACCCCAAAAAAGGAACAACCTCCCTAAACCCTAAACCCTAAAACCCTAATTAAACTCCAAAAAGCAAACCTTTGTGTAGTTGAGGGTCTCACTTTAAGTTTCACAGCTGCTGCGGGCATTGCGGGCTTACGAGCCAAGAGGCCTTGCTGGTCCTCCTAATAAGGGTTAGAGGTTTTAGGGTTCAGAGATTCGAGGGTTTAGGGGGTTTAGGGGGTTTAGGGTGTTTAGGGGCTTTAGGGTTCAGGGCTCAGGGCCTCCATTTTTTTCTCCGGCCGACGGCCCTACTTCAAGTCCATAGGTTCCCTTTGCCACGGCAGGCGTCGCTGCCATTCAGGGGGAAGGGGGGTCACACAGACGGATGCGCTCGCAAGGACAATGCCTAGGCTGCCACCTGACAGCCCCACGCTGTGTCGAGCACCTGGAAGAAGAGGGGCAACGCAGCTGGTGTGGTGCTGTAAATTCGGGTTTAGGGTTTAGGGTTCAGGGGTGTGTTCCTTTAAATTCGGGCCACGTCCAACTCCATGGACTTCTTCACAGAACACAACACCACCCGCCAAAAATTGACCCAGTTTTGGAACATAACCCGCAGATGCTGAGGCAGCGGCAACAGCTCCCTGGGCTTGCAGTACGATGAAGACCTGGCATCAAGGTAGCAGGAGGTCTTAGGGTTTGGGCGGGATCTGTGACCCCTAAACCCGAAACCCGAAACCCGAAACTCGAAACCCTAAACCCTACACCCTAAACCCCAAGCCCTAAACCCTAAGCCCTGAACCTCGACTAGACAGCTTTCCAGGTAGCCAAGCGCGCCAGCAAATCCAGCCATGTGAAGATAAATCGTAGCATCTCGAAGGGTTTGTCGAGATGTTCTGCCTGGTCGCTGGATTGGGTTTAGGGTTAAGGTTTAGGGTTTAGGGTTTAGGGTTAAGGTTCAGGGGTTAGGGTTTAGGTTTAGGGGTAGGGTTTGGGGGGTTAGGGTTTAGGGAGGGTTTAGGGTTCCAGGTGGTTTCGTTTGCCGAAAAATATAGGCATCGAAGACGCAACCACAAAAGGTTCGGGGAAAAGGGTTTTGAGAGGTGAGCGAGTTGGAAGCTGACATGGCATTGCCGGACCAACTTTGTGGCTACCAGTGCATACAAGCTTTGTTTGCTGTGCACGATGTCGAAACTACAGCCCTTTACTCTCCAACCTGCTTAAAAAATGTAACGTTTGTACCATGCATGCGCTGGCAAGGCATAACCGGAGGCCGCCATGGTTCCTAAACCCTAAACCCTAAACCCTAAACCCTAAACCCTAAACCCTAAAGAGCCTCAAAGCGCCTCTATACTCAAAGCCCCTGCTGCCTTTGAGATGGAGATGGAGTCGGCGAGGCTACCACAGGCTGCCTTCGCCACGGTGCTTCTCCCCAGAGAAGCTGGGGGGCAAATGGGCCGAAATGCGGCAGAAGGCGATGCCGAATGCTTTGTTGGAAATTGCGGCATGTGATTCGAGCAGGTCTCTGCGCACTCTTCCGCTTCTTCTTCTTCTTCTTCTTCTTCTGCTTTTTCATGGTTATAGATGGCCTTGACCATTCTCTGCCGCTTTTTTGGCCAACCCCAACTTCTGTAGCACTGGCTGAAGCGTTTCGGGTTAGTCACCCCATGACCACATCCTGACATCCTAGCTCGGAAGACATCCATCATTCGCGGCTTGCGTGATGAAGCTTGTGTGTATGCAAGGCGGCCCATCCCTCGTTTGACATGTGTCGGTCAAACAACGTTCAGTGACTTCACAGTTGGGCTGAGCAACCCAGCATCTTTACACTGCAGAGACGCAGCCGGAAGCAAGTCAATCACTGCCCATCGCACGGCTGATGCTGCAACAGAAGCTTTACAAGGGCAACATTGCAGCCAGGGCATTCCCTCAACCCTAAACCCTAGACCGGGTTCTTCGATGTCCTTCGCGCGAGGTCAGAGGAACTGGTCCAGCAGGCATGGTAGCACTTCGGCGTCTTCTCGCGCTATGAGATGAGCACCGCCAGTTTTGGCTGCAAATGCCGAGCAGGGTTGGTTGGTTGGTTCGAAGTCCCGTTTCACGTACATGAAGCCAGGCATGCTTTTCCTTCAACACGCCCTTCTCGTGGAGCTGGAAGCATCTTCCAGTTGGCTCAGGGTCCTGGAGCCTCGTCTCGATGCTCGAGCTTTCAGGGTTCTTTATGTCTCCAGGAAGCACAATCAAGATATACACGTGTATACTTTCCACCAGGAAGAAGCCGCACAGAAAAGACCATCTTCGGAATTTCCTTCACGGTGCAGCCTGCCGCCTCGATGGACTTCTTGACTGCCGCGCCCGCGCCTGCATCTCCAGGATCGCCTGAACGCATGGAGGCAGTGCTCTTTATTGGGGGGGGGGGGGGGAGGTGGTGTTCCCCATATTGCAGGGGATACTGTTTCGGGGTATGCATAAGGTCACTATCAGGGACGAACACTTCTTTCGCATAGGGAATATTAGGGCTCTGCGGCGTTTCAGGGTTCCATTTCAAATTTCTTCGCGGGCGCAAAAGCCCAGACTGATTCAATTGCAAAGTCTCTGAGGGCTGATACAATGTCCAAGGCTTCTGGCTGAATACGAAATTCAGACGGTTAGGGACTGAAAGATTAGCGAGCCACACCCTATAAACCAAAGCCTATAAACCTTCCCTAGGCCCTACCACCCCCTGTAAACCCAAAATGCCATGACATGTATAGATAGTTTTCTTGATGCAGTCACACTACCATACTGTATATAAATTACATTGCGTGACACTACAGTCCTGCACAGGACAGCACACTACACACAATGTAGCCGCCCAATGTACAACTGCATAAACCTATATATATATATATATATGCATACATGCATACATGCTCAATCCAACCCTAAGCCCTTAACCCTTAACCCTTAACCCTTAACCCTAAGCCCTAAACCCTAAACCCTAAGCCCTAAACCCTAAACCCTAAACCCTAAACCCTAAATCCTAAACCCTACCCCCCCCCCCCCCCCCCCCCCCCCCCCGCCCCCCAACACAAAAAAAAAAAAGAGGCTGGGAAGCCCAGCCTCGCAGCTTGCAGCCGCCGACTCCGCGGCGCGCTGCTTCGCCAAGGCCACGCGGCGCCAGAGCGCGTCGCAGCCGTCGGTCCTAAGAGGGGTTTCAGGGGGTTTGTAGGGTTTAGGGTTTAGGGTTTAGGGTTTAGGGTTTAGGGTTTAGGGTTTAGGGTTTAGGGTTTAGGGTTGAGGATTTGCAGGGTTTAGGGGTTGAGGGTTTAGGGTTTAGGGGTCCTAAGAGGGTTGAGGATTCATAGAACCTAGTCTTTTGGGGGCCTTGGATCCATTTTTGGGGGCAAATTGGGGTCGAGCTTTAAGGGTTGAAGGCTCGGCGATCAAGCTTTGTGAACTTTTTCTGGTCAGGTCTTGGAATCAGCCGTCCTTGGCAACCTGAACTATACGGGGAATGGACTTCATCCTGGGGCCTACCTAGGAGGGGGGTACGGATTCTCGATGCCCCTTGATGTTGTAGAGCAAAAACTGCGGCTTAGGCTTTTTGCTCTGAACCTTTGAAGGTTTGCTTTGGGCAGTTGGCTCTGCGACCCAAACAATCTGAAGCAGGCGTGCGTCAGGCGTTCAGCCATCTCTTCTAAGCTGCTCACCTGTCTTGGGACAAGCGCTATTCATGTACAGAGAAGCCTCAAGGCATTCCCTTCACTCTGGATTAACAAAAACTTCTACAATTCAGACAGCAGAAGATGCCAGCACATCCAAGGACGTTCAAAGCTTTGAGGACAACAAGTTGGGATGTTCCTCCTTATACTAACAGTCCTTTATAGGGATTTTAGTCGGGGGGGGGGGGTACTAGAATCCCTAATGACCTAATAAGGAGCTGTTAGTATAAAGGGGAACATCCCAAGCAACAAGCTTCCATCTGCAGCGTCCGCCTTCTGAGCCTCCTCCTCCCTCTCGCGCTGCCTGGTCGCGTGCGCCTTCTGCAGAAGTCTTGCGCAGGCCCGAAAACCCCCGAACTTGGTATGTTCCCCCCTATACGAACATTCCTTGACAGGGGATTTATAAGAGGGGGTACTGCAATTCCCAGTAAGGACTGTTACAAGTAGTATGGGGGGGGGGGGGGAACATCTCAACCCTAAGCCCGAACTGCGAGGGCATCCAGAAGTCGACCTAGTATAGAGGCCTACATAATTCGAATAGAGTTTTGGGGGGATTATTCTCGCAAACTTACAAAGGGACCATACGGGAATACTCTTAGTAATTATTCCGACCCCCCAAAATGAAGTGTTCTGAAATTCGATGCCGAGATGAGAACATACCGACCTGACCTCGGTGAGCCGCAGCTTCCGTCTCCAAGGTTTAGGCTTGGGTCCCCCTTATACTAACAGTCCTTAGTAGGGATTAAAAGTACCCACCCCCCGGACTATAATCCATATTAAGGACGGTTAGTAGAAGGGGGAACATCCCAAGTTTGGGCTCTGTTCCGAAGCATGCACAACTTCACCTCCTAATCCCGAATAGGAGGGATCTCAAGTTTCTCGAACGGACACGGTGTGCCCAGGCCTTATGCTCCTGCGCAAGCTCCGCGCGAAGTGACTGCACATTGCTGATAATAGCCTGGCGAAGTCATGCCAGGAGATTGGCTCCAGGACGGCTTCTGACAGCTTTGTAGAGGCTCAGGCATGTGCCTTCATTCCTGGCACATGCCATTCAACCAAACACCGTGAAGGTTCTTCATGCTTAGCCGAGAAACGAAGCTCACTTTCTCTCGATTGTTGTGGTCATGACACCACTTCTTCACGAAGCAATTGGGATGCAAGGTCTCAAGTCAAAGGATTGGCTGCGGCGACTGCGATAAACAAACAAGAAAATCGCCAAAACCCTCCCCCCCGCCCTCCCCCCGAAAAAAAAACAAACAAACACCCCCTGCCCCCCCCTCCCCAACAAAAAAAAAAAACAAAAGCGGCAAAACTCCCAAACCCAAACCTCACCGTGCCTCGGTGGCGGTCTGCTGCTCTTCAAGCGCCGCCTCCAGAAACCCCTGGGCATCGGCAGCCTCTGCCGGCTCAGGGGCCGCCTCCCTGTTGAGGGTCTTGCGGGAGGGTTTAGGGTTTAGGGTTTTTGGACTTAACTTTTGGGTTTGGCGTTTAGGAGTGAGAGGGTTTAGGGCTTGTCGGATTTGAGGACGTTGGGTACTGGGTAGATAACGGTTTGCTAGATAACGATTCTGCACCCTAAGCCCTTGAGCCCTAAGCCCCCAAAGCCTGCGCCGCGAAGCCCTCTGCAAACAAAAACTTACCAGCCGCGCTGTTCCCCTAAGCAGCCTTCAAGAAAAAAACATGCTAAGCAGAACATCTTACACATACTGCAAGACATAACCTTCTGACGATGCTGGGAAAATAAAAATGGGGGTTCACGAAAATAAGGGACCCCGAATGATAGAACCCCAAATAGTAGGATCCCCTCCTTATAATAAGGACCCCAAAAAAGTACCCCTAAACCCTAAACTGCCCTAAACCCTAAACCCTAAACGCTAAACACTAAACCCTAAACCCTAAACCCTGAATCCTAAACCCTAACCCTAATATCGTAAACCACCAAAGAGAGCCTTTCTAGACCCAGGCGCTTCAGACGGGCTCCCATTTCCCCGGACCGACTGCGCAGTTCGGCCACCTCCTTCTGCAGAGCCTGGCGCTCTTGCCAGGGCAGCCGGAAGGCTCGCGGGTTTAGGGTTTAGGGTTTAGGGTTTAGGGTTTAGGGTTTAGGGTTTAGGGTTTAGGGTTTAGGGTTTAGGGCGCTTCTGTTCTTGTGATGCGTGCTAGAAATACTTCTCTACGTAGTCGTAGTACCGCACCCGTAGCTTTGGTCGTTAAGGATTGTGGGACACTAAACCCTAAACCCTAAACCCTAAACCCTAAACCCTAAACCCTAAACCCTAAACCCTAAACCCTAAAGGTCAGGCTGCAGGTGGCTTAAGCTTCAGGGCTTAAAACTCAAACAGCGCCGAAAGCACCCAGCTCTAGATGTATCTGGGTGCTTCTCTAGGATTAGGGTCCCTTTTTTGGGATCCCGTTTTCAAGGATGCCGCCAATGGGTACCCACAAAGGGACCCTAACTTAGGAAACTACCCATGTAATAGTTTAAGCTGGGGGTTGGGCTTGGTCGGCAGGATCTACGGGTTTAAGGTCGTTTTGCGGCTTCTGATGCAGGGAGCTTGCGGTGCTTGAGGAGACTCGTAGCTGCAGTTTAGAGGCCTGCGACCTGCGACTTGCGACTCGTCGGGGCTCTTGAACCCAAGGGCTGAGTAACCCAAAGACTCACAAAGACTCACAACAGGCTAGCAGGGACCCCTATTTTGCTTAAGAAATCCCCCCCCCCCCAAAAAAAAAAAAGAGAGCAAACATTCTTCCCTACCAGGTTAACATAGGGACTATAGTATCTTTGCTCTTTTTTTTGGGGGGGGGGAGGAGGTTCTTAAGCAAATAGTTATCCTTTTTTTGGGGGGGGTTCCTTAAGCAAATATTAGTGGAAGCCCTGGCTGCTGGGCTTAGTTTTCGATGCCTCCGTGCGTTCGGCCGTCTCGGCCGTCATGAGACGGAGCCGTTGGTCCGAGGACGCCAGCATCCCCTCCCAAGGATGGGTGCTGGGCAGTAGGGATGAGGGTTTAGGGTTTCAGGATTTAGGGTTTAGGGCTAGGGGTTATAGGGTGTAGGGCTTAGGGTTAGGGGATATAGGGTTTAAGGTTGTTATAGGGTTATAGGGTTATAGGGTTATAGGGTTATAGGGTTGTAGGGTTGTAGGGTTATAGGGTTATAGGGATATAGGGTTGCGGATTTCGGGTGAGCCGAGGGCCTCCTGAAGAGTTGACCCTTGCGTGGTTACGTGGCAAGTGGCGGCAAGTCGCCATCAAGAACACCCAAACCAAAACCCTAATTTCTCAAACCCTAAACCCTAAAACCCTAAAACCCCAAATTCTGAGCTCAAAACGGGGCCTGCATCTCATCCTCGGCCGCTTGCCGGGCCTCCGCGGAATGCTGCCGCAGCGAAGCCATCTCAGATGCCTTCGTCATTGAGGAGCATCGTATATTGGGGGGGGGGGGGGGGGGTGGGTTTAGGGTTTAGGGTTTAGGGTTTAGGGTTTAGGGTTTAGGGTTTAGGGTTTAGGGTTTAGGGTTTAGGGTTTAGGGTTTAGGGCTTAGGGTTTAGGGTTTAGGGTTTAGGGTTTAGGGTTTAGGGGTTTAGGGTTTAGGGGATTTAGGGTTTAGGGTTGTACTTGCGGGCCGCAGATCTTCGGAAATACCGAAACGAACGAGAGAGGGAGTTCATCAAGGGAGCCTATGGTTTCAAGACAAGGGGGTCCAGGTTCAAAACTTAAGGTCTGAGGGAAGGAGAAACAGACAGACAAGGAAATGAAGAAACGCTTCGAGCGAGTGAGGAACCCGAACCGTAACCGCCTTGAGGCTATAGGTTTCGGAGACAGGGACCAGAACACATGCTAGCACCGGCGTGCGACTAAGGCCTTATCCAGGAACCCGGCGAGAGAAACGAGCAAGAAATGCCCAATAAGTCCTCAGGCCTGCTGTGCGGCAGTTCGCTGAAGTGCCTCGATGCTATGCTCCTGACGGCAGGCCACTTTGATGTCGGAAGGGGCTGCCGTCTTATCGAGACCCAAGAGTAAGCGAGAAATAGCAAGGGTGCCCTTTCTGGTTCGAAGGGGGCTATAATGGGAGCCATGAAATTCCAGCGTATGGATTGAACCTTCGTGGAACGTGTGCCCCTTAACCCTGAAATCCCAAGCCCCAAACCTTAAACCCCTAAACCCTAAACCCTACACACCCTAAACCGCAATCCGAAGCAGCCGCCAAGCCGCAGTCTGCGCCATCTCTGCCCGAACAGCCGCAGACTTGGACTCCTTCTGCTGCAGATCAGACGAAAGCTCCGAAATGCCTGGAGGGTTTAGGGTTTAGGGTTTAGGGTTTAGGGTTTAGGGTTTAGGGTTTAGGGTTTAGGGTTTAGGGTTTAGGGTTTAGGGTTTAGGGCTAAACTGACACAACTTGGGGGCCTGGAGAGCTTGAAGTTTTTAGTAGAACTTGTATCCTTTGCAGGGGGTTTACAGAGTTTTGGGAGGTTCACACAAGGGTGATGGACCCTGCTATCGGCACTCTACCAGTCACATGTGATGGGCTAGGCAAGTTAATAAGTAGATACCCCGAAACAAGACCCACAAGCCACATCAACCTCACATAGTCCCTGGTCCCATGTCCAAATTCCAATCGATGGAAATTGCTTTCAAAAAATACTGCAAGCAGAGGGCTTAGGGTTTCAGGCTAGGGGTGCAGGGTGTAGGGGTCAAGGTCTAATCTAGGGTAGCAAATAAACGGCTACTCTGTGTATTGTAGTACATATATATATATGCATATAGTTAAACTGTATGCATATTATACAGTATACAAGTAGGTATTTACACGGGATAGGTACGTACAAACATATTAGTACATACAGACATATACTTAAAATACACATATACATGCACGCACTCTTATGCCGTATCTATGTACAGCCAGCACTCGCTTTATTGCCGCCGCCTTCTGCCACCAGGGCCAAGACCCGGTTTCGGCGACGGACATCGGGATGCTCTCGGAGCCTCGGGTGAAACTCATCGAGGCTCCAGAGCTTTATCTAACAAAGAATGATAGCTTTCGTTGAATTTTGTGATGATGATGGCGATGGCAATGATGATGGAGATGCATGAAGTTCTGCCATAAACACAATGATTGGGGATGATTGTCACCTTAAATTTAGAATGACTGTCAATATGAACAGGCATGTAAAACGTTGGGGATGGGGGGCGGTGTTGCGACGCAGGGTCATAGGGCTCAAGGCTTCAGCTGTAGGCTTTGTAGTTTTCGGCCGAGTGATGCGAGACCTGTCCTTTGAAAACCGGAGCCACACGATGGTTCAATGTCAATGTTTAGCAGGCTTTGAATTAAAGCATGACCCTAAGCCTGAAGGCTAAGGGTCGTGGAGGCTATGCTTCTAGTCAACCCCCATGATATGAACATCCAAATAAATCGGGTTTCAAATTCCAGCTCAATCATTCACTAATCAGCATGAACCTGGGTGGCCCCTCCCAGCTTCCATCCAAGAAGCAACTCTCTCCGCAGGCTTTCCACCTCAGGCTGCGTTTGCAGTTCATGAACAGGCTTCGTGCCATTCGACGTACGAGTACTGTGGGGGGAACTAAGAGGAGTGCTTTGCTCATGCTGTTCTTCTGTTGGCCTGCGACCCATGCACAGATGTTTGGATGCGATCTTCTCATGAACGCCCTTCGCGACATGAGGTTTCACAACAAAGGACCGCTGAACAGCTCCTTCCACAAAATGTGTCCGCTCACCAGCCCCGTCACCAAAAACCAGAAAAGGGCAGGGTTTAGGGTTTAGGGCTTAGGGCTTAGGGTTTAGGGTAAGCCACGAAGCAATGGCTCTCTGTAGGGATTGAGGGTTTGAGGGTTTGGTAGGGTTTTATGGTAGTTTGTAAACCCACCAAGCTACCTAGGGACCTGCCAATTGTGCTTCCTTTTTGCAGGGAGTACCAATCATTGGCCCGAAGAGAGGTTTACCTTCAGACCCCAAAACCTTACTCTGTTGTGGGTTACCTTAGAATCCGATAAGGGGGTTTTTGTAGTAGAAACCTACAAAATATGTTTATTTTGTAGTAGTAACCTACGAAAAGAATTTCGTAGTAATAACCTACAAACAGTAGCTTCTGGGTTCTTGAGGTTAGGGAGACCCCCAGCCTCCTCGCCCAGCGCCTCCTCACGAGCCACCTCGGCAGCCTCCACTCCCACGGGATCCTAAGCTGTTCTCCCATGGATGTGGGTTTAGGGTTTAGGGTTTAGGGTTTAGGGTTTGGGGTTTAGGGTTTAGGGTTTAGGATGTCAAGAAAAACAACAGGGGTACCCAAAACAAGGCACAAGGATTCTAGTGTTCTTAGGGAATTTCTGAATTTGGGGTGCCCATGTTTCTGGGAAATACCCGTACGTGTTCAGGGACTGTGAATAGGCACTCTTGAGCAGGGAAGACGAAAGGGGACGATCATCTACCATCATGCCGGTTAAGCAGAAATGCCGCAAAGCAGGGGGGCACGAACCTTGAAGCCACAGCGTACACTCTAAACCCTAAACCCTAAACCCTAAACCCTAAACCCTAAACCCTAAACCCTAAACCCTAAACCCTAAACCCTAAACCCTAAACCCTAAACCCTTCCCTGCATCCTGATGTTCAACTCCTTGCTGCTAGGTTGCCCAGGCCTTCCGCTGTGGGCTGGTTGGCAGATTTCTGTCAACCTGAGGACTGCATTCCACAGGGTGGGTAGGGTTTAGGGTTTAGGGTTTAGGGTTTAGGGTTTAGGGTTTAGGGTTTAGGGTTTAGGGTTTAGGGTTTAGGGTTTAGGGTTTAGGGTTTAGGTTTAGGGTTCAGGGTTGGGAAGCCGGCTGAGTTCGCGGGGCTCTAGGTTTAAGGTTGAGGGCTGGACGCGTTGCACCCCAACTCATGGGATAACATCCGGCCCTGAGAAGGTACAAGTGGCACTGGAAGCTCACATCCGGGTTCTGCTTGTCAAGTGTGTGTTGCTTGGCTTGCTCATAAAAGATGCCGGATTGCAAGCACAACGCCCTGATGATGCATAACCATTAGTCCCACTGCAAAGCCGAGCGGCCGGTGCTCGAGACCTACATCCTCAATAGTAGGTACTCATCACAGTCATGGTAACCAATACAACAATACTTCTCTTCATACCGATAATAACTTTCAACATGCTGTAGAAGGCCCCAAAAATGAGCCCCAGCCAGGGCGCCTTCCCGCGCAGGTGGCTGCACAAAGCCTCCCGACGAGGTCAGGATGAAATCGGTCGAAGGGGCAATGCACTATTGCAGGGTACAGTGAGCATCGTGGGACCCATATGAGGGACCTTAGGGGTTCTTTAGGGGTCATGTAGGGTCTCTTTAGGGTAATTAAAGGGCAAAGTCAGAGCCCGAAAGCCTAACTTTGCTCCGGCCTCCAGGCGCAAAGCCTTGTCGTGCAGTGCCCTCTCTTTCGCTCGCAACTCCTGCTCGATGAGGATGCTGCAGCCGGTCTATGGTGCAGCTCTGCGTTCATGGGCAACCCTTATATAGCATAACCATAGGTCTATGAACCACTATGCCACTATGCCACCATGCCGCGCGTGTGGGATCAATGCGTCCTCATTGTCGGCATTGCGCTGGGCCGTGTCGGCGAGGACCTCGCTCGAAATCAGCTTGAGTGGGACTAGCCCAAGACTTGAACTTAGGGTTTAGGGTTTGGGGTTTGGGGTTTAGGGTTTAGGGTTTACTTGAACAGTGCTTGAACATCTGAACACCTGAGCACTTTGTGGCCCCCATGGCCGGCACTTCATGGCGCTCCAACTGACTATCCCTGACCTTCTCCACCGCATGCTGCAAGCCTTCTGCGTGCACCTGCGACAAAGAGTCGTGCGGAATCGAGCTCATCTACACCTCTTACTTAGTATCTCAGCCTCCCCCCTCAAGAAAGTTTAGGGATGTTTGCGCGGCCTTTGGGAACTGCAAGGCTGAAGGTGCAACTGGCCAAAGAAGCTCAAAGTGGACAGGATCTCAACAATGCATGTCCCAGCACCAGTGACCATCCACACGCTTCAGACAGTAGCTAGGCCTCTGCTTGGGCGCAATCCTGCCGGTTTGAGGTGTTGGGGTTAAGGGTTTTTGGGGGGTTCAGCATCTGGCAAGGCGGGAGAACCCAAGCAAGAAAGCTCGTAGTTGCACGGGCCTGTATGATGAAACGACTGCCAACGCTAAGAAACCGGGCTTGCTGCTCCACCAAGGCCAAGGATGAGTCGTGCTTTCGGAGTTGGTGATGATGACGATGACCACGATGATGGTGATCATTGTGATGATGATGTTGATGATAACTGTTCTTATGACGATGGTGGCACTGTTGGTGCAAGGGCCTACATGGACAGCTACAGGGCCATGTGGGAGCCAAGGCCTGTCAGACTCAATGTGGCGAACCCACCTCCTCCGTCTGCCGCAACATCCGTGCAGAGCGATGCGCTGCATGCTGCAGATCACGAGCCTCAAGGCGCCCACCACTCGAGTTCAGGGGTGTAAGGAGGGACCCCTAGAAGGGACCCGTAATCATATTCCTCTAGATATCCCCTAAATGCACCTGTTATCGTCCTAAGCAGCCCCTAGATGACCCCTAAGGTCCATTACAAGATGGAGTCACGAAAGTGCATGAGGGGAAGCAAATGCTTGGCAACTATCTCTGCCAGCACAGCACAGTGAACCTGCGTGGGTTTCTTTTGTTTATGTTTCTTTGGCCTTGTTTTTTGGTGGGGAAGGAGGGGAGTGGGGAGGGGGGTGTAGGGAAAGCCAGAAAGACCGAAACCTTGCAGAGTTACCTGTCGGACGAGAGTCAAGGCATAAATCGTTCAAGGGCCTCTGAAACATCAGTGGTTATTGAACAAAGCTCACTAAAGCCTGAATTCGCCAGGACTATCCCAAAACCCCGAACCCCCGAAGCCTCATCTAAACCTGCCTCAAAAGAAGAACCCTAAAATGCTCTCACGCTTCATCCTAAAGCCCACCTCCAACCCCAAGCCCTTAACCCCTAACCGTAGAATCCCCTAACCCTGACCCCCAAACCCCAAGCCCTAAACCCCTAAACCCCTACACCCTAAACCCCAAACCCCAAACCCTACACCCCAAACCCAAACCCTAAACCCAAATTTTCAATCGCAAACCCTAAAGCCTAAAATCCCAAACCCAACCCCTAAGCCCCAAACCCCAAACCCTAAACCCCAAACCCTATTCCCTAAGCCCTAAAACCCTTGGGGAACACCCTGACCGGCCAGAGCCTCGTTGAGGAGAACCCGCTCGGCTTCCTGCGAAGCAGCAGCCTGGCCCTGGCCAACGGCTTCTTAGGGTTTGGGGTTTGGGGTTTAGGGTTTCGGGTTTGGGGTTTAGGGTTTGGGGTTTAGGGTTTGGGGTTTAGGGTTTGAAAGTTTGGGGTGTAGGGTGTGGGGTTGCGGTTTGGGGTTTGGGAGTTAGGGTTTCGGGTTTGGGGTTTAGGATTTGGGGTTTGGGATTTAGGGTTTCGGGTTTGGGGTTTAGGATGTGGCGTTTGGGATTTAGGGTTTGGGGTTTAGGCTTTGGGGTTAAAGGGGTTTGGGGCTTGGCTTTCGTGGCTCTTAGTAGGAAAGTAGGGGACGAGGTTCCCCAAAACCCTAAACCCTAAACCCTGAACCCTAAACCCTAAACCCTAAACCCTCAAAAGAGCCCTTGCAGAGCTCTGTAGAGGGACAAGAGGTCCCTAAACTTGGGACTATGCGGTCGAACCAGTCACAGTGGCCATGATCATGGCCAACAGCCGCAAAGTACAAGCAAAGCGCCCTAAACCCTAAACCCTAAACCCTAAACCCTAAACCCTAAACCCTAAACCCTAAACCCTAAACGCCTGGAGGAACTCCGGATCAAGGTTGCTTAGGGCCTTGAGGAGGGGCTCGGGTTTAGTGCTTTAGCGTTTTAGGGTTTAGGGCTTTAGGGGGTTTGGAGTTTCTTGGAGTTTCTTGGAGGAGTTGAGGGCGGATTATGCTTGGGGCTTTGAGGTTTCGCCCCTAAACTCTAACCGTAAACGATACAAACCCTTAACCACTACACCTAAACCCTCTTGTGGGAAAGTCCCCAGCTCTCGGCGTTCGCATGCCTGGAGCTCCTCGATCTTCTGCCGGTGGCGACCGGTGAGCTCCTTATCTCGAGGCGGATGTCAGGGTTTAGGGTTTAGGGTTGAGGCTTAGGTTTTGCAATCCCTTCATTGGGAGGCAGTGTTGTCATGCTAGTCTGGCACCCACAGCTGTTGATTCGGAGTTGTGCCGGCGCCCAGTGCAAGTGCTGCAGTTGAAGCAGGTTTGGACCATTGAAGTCGGCACAAATTACGTCAAACCCTATACTTACAGGCTAAAAACCTCCAAGTCCCCAACAAACAAGCTTCCTAAAGCACGCCGAGGCACATCCACGCGTCTTTGCTGTTCGCTCCGGGCCTTTCATGTTGCGATTGGACAAAGGCAACACTCCCACTCCCCAGAGAGCACATGGCAAAAACTAGCGACGAAAGACCATTTCTTAAAGGTGCCCACAAAACCCGCGCGGATACTACTGCCAGCACCTTCTTGAAAAATCTACCGGCACAGCTTCATGGACAAATTGCGACACAACTAAGCACATACACTTTCAACAAATCTTGACACTTGCTGTAGCTACATGCAACTACCAGGACGGGCTAGTATACCCTATAACCCCTTGAAGAGGCCCGTTATGGGGGCTGTTTATGGGGATTTTTCAGGCCCAATATGGGTATTTTCCCAAAATAGGGGTGCCTCCTCCCCTTCAAGGGACCCCCAAGAAGGGTACCCCTATTTTCGGAAACCCCCAGAATTACAAAGGAACCTAAACCCCCCTAACCCCTAATCTCTAACCCCTAACCCCTAAACCCTAAACCCTAAAAACAAATGGAACAAGGGCACTACTGATGGCCCATCCTTATAGTGTCGGTCAAGTGATAGGGGGCCCGGCACGCACAGCTCCTGAGACTTGGCGAGAACTGGCGCGGTCCTGTGGCAGATGACGGGGGTTCCTCTTTTAGGGTTAAGGGTTTGGGGTTTAGAGTTTAGGGTTTAGGGGTTTAGGGGTTTAGGGTTTAGGGTTTAGGGTTTCGGGTTTAGGGTCCGAAGTGTTTCAAGTGGGTGTGAGAGTCGACTCTTGCCTACCACAGAAGGCAAGGAATGTGGAGGACTTTCCCACATTAGGGGTACCTTAAAGAGGTCCTGCTTATAAGGGAGGGTTTAGGGTTTAGGGTTTAGGGTTTAGGGTTTAGGGTTTAGGGTTTAGGGTTTAGGGTTTAGGGACTATTTTGGGGATCTAAATTGGGGGTCCCCTTTTTTCGTAAACATGTGTGCAAAGGCCGGCCATCTTGGACACGAAGCCTGCAAATAAGCCCCTCCCTGTCCCCAAAATTCACACCCTAAACCCTAAACCCTAAACACTAAACCCTAAACCTTAAACCATCCTTGCGACGTTGGAGTCCCTCCACCTCAAGACGGAGTTGTCGCACTTCCTGGCACCAAACTCCAGGCTTTGCTAGGCTTTAAGTCCTGCGCGTACTCTCTGATGTTATTTAAATAATACGCAATGCATAAAATACAGTATGTTATAAGATATGTATATATATATATATACATATGTATACATATAGCATGTAGAAATGCCCCAAAGTTCATGGAGACCTTGTTCCGACGAGCTGTGCCAAGTCCCTGCCTCCTCTCGCTGCCGCAGGGGCACGAGCAGCTCATCGAGCTCCTGTAGGAGACCCTAAACCCTAAACCCTAAACCCTAAACCCTAAACCCTAAACCCTAAACCTAAACCCTACTGTGGAATATAGGGGTCTGAATAATTAGTCTAGGGTGTTCGGGTGTTAATATAGTAGAAGTATTACTCATCTAGCTCCTGCAGGAGACCGTTCGGGGAGAAGCAGGACTCCAATAATGGCCGTACTCCGACCCCTACATTGATTCTAGATCCTCCCAAGGGCGTGGGAAAAAAGGGACGCCTTTCAACCCTCGATGGTGACGAAACCCTGGGTTTCAGATGCCTTCTTGCTAGGTTTCGGAATGACCCCTGCATCCTAAACCCTAAACCCTAAACCCTGAGGACTGCTTTTGTGGCTGGCATCTCCACCGCTCTGCCGCAGTATGTGGTGATAGGCGAGTAGGGGGCGCCCCGACTGCCCTCGCCAGTCTGTACAATTCCCCGCATCCTGCAGAAGGCTCGCTGAGCTGTGTATGTCCCTTACAGGGGCCATGGTGGCAGTAGCTTCAGGTGAATATATCCTCTGTATTTGATTCTGTTTTTTTTATCCACAAATACAGGTGTATATGCACATATATATATATATACACAGATATATATATATATATATACATATACGTATGTGTACTACTTAGGTATGCACGGGCCCTTAGGGAGTAGTTGTATGTTATAAGAGCCAGCACACGCTGCCATCAACTATTCGGCCAGAAGTACCGCTTCTTCGTTGAGCCAAATCTGTCCTGTAGCATGCTGGCTCCATCCCAAAAATGGCTAAGAAGCAGACGTTGAAGAAGGAAATACCCCATACTTTCTACTGTACGACTATGTGTCGCTCTAGAGATTGAGGCTTCAGGACTGACAGCACTGCGATGTTCCAGTCGGTCACGCAAGTGCGCCACAAGCCTTCTGTTGTCTAATCCTGCTAGGCCCATTCTCTCTGGCGGGCTTGTGCGCAGGCCCCAGCGAAGGTCCTCAATCGTTCTTCTTGTCCTGGCACAGGGTCGCATATGCAAGCGCCCCGAGTTAGTCAGTCCATATTGCCCTCGGTCCTGAACCTCCTCCGTCTCTGCAGATTCGGTGAAATCCTCATCGAAAGCTCCTCACGCGATGCCGCAATCAGCCCCAGTGATCACTCTTGCTTCCCCGCAACTAAAGTATGTCTACACATGAAACCCTAAACCCTAAACCCTAGAGCAGGAATGCGCATTGATTGAGGTATTGCAGGAAACGGGTCTGTTTGATTGGAAGGATGAAAAGGGGTGCTGGAAACTAGGCTCCTGTATTCGGTTGTCATGCCAGGCTTAACGGCTAGTTACTGAGCAGGGTATAGGATTAGGGGGACTTTTGGGGCTATAGACCCTCTCAATAAGGTCCCTGTTGAAGAGAGCCAGAAGAGGGTTCAGAAGGGTTCCCGTTTAAGGGCACCCCTCATTTTACCTAGGTTGCTGATAGTTGCAGTCTAGCCACGGGACGTGTCCACCGGATAGATATGCCGCTGGTAGAGGTAAAGGAGGAAGACGATGTCATCTCTGAAGCACGACATGCCTTCCCAAAAATGACTTGATTGCTGGTCTTCGATACAATATAGGATAAGACAATATAACAATAGACTATAATACAAAAGTATGATAGATTGTAATACAACCTAATAGAAATCATGGAATATGATCATAAATATGTAAAACCATATAGTACAATATAGCTATATTTAATATATATATATATATATATACGTATATAGCATGGCAGCTGCGCAAACGGCTCATGATGTTGTTCCTCCAGGACGGGTTCTACGACGGCTTGACTTGGGATGTCTTCAGCGGACTTGGGCTTTGCAGAGCAAGAGGCCCAAGCAATCCAGACAGTTTGTGATGCAAGCAGGTAGGGTTGAGGTTTTAGGGTTTAGGGTTTTTAGGGTTTAGGGTTTAGGGTTTAGGGTTGAGGGTTTAGGGTTGAGGGTTTAGGGTTAGGGTTTAGGGTTTAGGGTTTAGGGTTCTATTACCCTGCACTAAGCACCGGGCGGTGCATCGTCGGCATCTTGATGATGAACGCGAAGAGATCATCCTCTCACGGCTTAAAGTCTTAGGGGTTTAGGGTCTGGGGTGCACAGGTGCTTCATGGCTGCCAGCTCTACCTAGAGGATACACACCCGTAAAGAAAGTAAGCTAAGGCTTCAAGGGTATAGGCTAACTATGGGCTCTCCCATAGTGAGGACCACCAAGAGAGCACCCCTAACTTTCGGAAAACCCCAAGTAAGAGCTGGAGGCAGACAAGTCACAATGAAGGTGTTGATGGCTCCTCAGCGAATCTGATAGAAAAAAAAGCTATGCGTGGACATTATGACACTGCTCTGAAGGCCGACGGCCAAGGGCTTACGTCGTCACGCCAGTGCAGTGAAATATGTCATGGCCGACACTGCCTAAAAGCCATGGATCTCTTAACTTCAGCCCTTCCTCTCCAACCCTACATTCCCCTACATCAGCACCTTATAGGAAAAACCTTAACTTAGCCACATACAACCACCCCGCAGACCCTCACCTACAAGCCGTTCGAGGCGCTGTAGATGAAGCGCCTCCACGGAAGATGCGCCACGGACTTCATGCGATAGTTGATGAAAAGCTGCGGGGTCCTCAGCTGTCGAGTTGCTTTTTAGGGCTTAGGCTTTGGTTTTAAGTAGTTTGATGGGTTCTTGAAGGGAACCGTTGACCCCTCAAAGCGGGGAACACGAGGGCACACTAGCTAGGTTCAAGGATTAGGGTCCGGGGCTTAGCGGCTTAGCGTTTTAGGGTGTTATGAATGGGAAGGCTTTGGAAACCGTCTGAGATTGGTAGGAGTGGTACCCTAAGCCGGATGGTCCCTGGTCTTGAAACTGACAACTTGCAGGAGTGGGCCTCTTGCATCATAGCGCTACGCATACATACAAGTACAAGACAAACATAGCATGCGCCAGAGGAGTCGGCAGCCCCTTGAGCGACACTTCGCGACCGGAACCCTTCTTCTAGGAGAGGTGCGTGTAGTGGGCATCGGAACCTTCCATAACACACGAGAGCCTTCACCGAGGATCATGAGTGCGAAGCCCAGGGCGTACACCAAAGATGCGGCAACGTGCAGCATGTACCTGAGACTGCTCTGGCTAAACTCTGTCTTCATCTTCCGGACATTTCAGAGAACATGTGTGGGTCCATGCATATACATACATCTAATTACACTCGATCCACTCCAACCCATGAAGCCCTAGATTTCAGCTGCGGGTGAAGGCTGCATTGAGGGCTTGAGAACTCCCTGTTGCTACACGGGCGTCAGAAGTGTAGTCCAAACATGTGCAGATAGCTGTCTTTCCCAGATGTGCGGATGTGTGGCCGACATTTACAAGCACTCTAAACCCTGAAAACTAAGTAGTTTCCGGCTCGTTTTGACGTGTCCTAGTTAGGTCCGTAACAGGATATTCTACAGCTTCACCCCCCGCCGAAGGCCGCAACTCCAATACTCCAATGCCTAAACCCGAAGCCCTAAGCCCTTAACCCCACTGTCTGTGGAGAACAGCGACGCTGGCAAGCTCTTGTGGCACTCGTACTTGGCAGAGTATCCAGCATACCCGACCACGATCGGGAGCAAGATCTCGGCTTCACTGTCTGCTTGGGGAGGCTGAGATTTTCAGATCCGGTGTTTAGGTGCCCCAAGTGCCCCCCCCCAAGTGAAGAAGATCCACTTCATGGCTCATGACTCCACTGATGACGGACTTAAGAAGCCAGATTTGGACAAACATCGTGCACACACACACACACACCATGCACACGCATAGCTCTCCAGGGCCCAGGCATATGAAAGGTATATCAAGGCCACTTTGTCATAGTCGTCCTCAGTGCCGCGGGGTCTCTCAGGTCGTTCTCGCTGTCATCAAGAAAGTCAACGGCTCAAAGCAGGCAAAGGGTGCGTTGGCCCATCCCGACTTGCATTATAGAACCCTCTCCTGAGACTCTCCTGCCTATACTCTCCCGCAAAACCCTAAACTGCCCTGAGCTTCCCTAAACCCTCAGACCCCTGAAACCCTCGAGGCCCTAGATGGTCCCCAAAAGCCCATCTGCGTCGCGCTGTGGGGTCCTTATCATAAGGGAATCCTACTATGTGGGCGTCTATATTAATGGTCCCCTATTTTCATAAACCCTAACCCTAAACCCTAAACCCTAAACCCTAAACCCTAAACCCTAAACCCTAAACCCTAAACCCTAAACCCTAAATGTGAATGCAGAACAGGGCGCCGCACTGGAGTGGGGCACTCGGCTCTTGAAGGTCGGGTGAGGAAGGGGCCCCTTCCAGGCCAGGCCCACCTTGCCACCGCTCGAGGGTTTAGGGTTTAGGGTTTAGGGTTTAGGGTTTAGGGTTTAGGGTTTAGGGTTTAGGGTTTGGGGTTTGGGGTTTGGGGTTTAGGGTTTAGGGTTTAGGGTGCAGACTTAGCCATGCTGAAGTTGATCCAAGACTGTTTTGAGTAAGAGCGCGGATTTCAAGATCATTTTTCGGGTGTTCGGGCTTGGGGTTTAAGCTGCTTTGCAATGGAATCTTCAGAAGCCACACACCAGCACGGCTTCCAGTCGAGGCCAACTACGAAGCAGCCTCCAGCCTTCCGGGGCCCTCGTAGGGCTTTGAAGACATGAAACCGCTCTCATCCCCATGGCTTACCTGGATCCCAGAATGAAGGGAAAGCCCCCCCCCCCCAACCCCCCCCCACCCCCCGGAAAAATAATGAAAAGGAAAAAATGAAAAGATAGAGTCAGATAGAGAGAGAAAGAAAGAAGAATGTAGTCCACACTTGCCATCCAAGTGTGCTCGCCCGAGTTTGGGAGACACCGAGACACCTCTAGCCCTAAACACTAAACCCCAAACCCCAAACCCTAAACCCTAAACGGCTAAACGCCTAAACGCCTAAACGCCTAAACCCTAAACCCTAAACCCTAAACCCTAAACCCTAAACCCCAAACCCCAATAGCCCTAA